AGAGGATAAATGAATTGTTGGATTTGTAACATATAGTAATAAGTCATCTGCATACAGAGCAACCCTATATTCCGTACCACCACGAATAACCCCTTGAAACAGAGGCGAGGTTCTGAGAGTCACAGAAAGAGGCTCTATTGCTAAAGTGAAAAGTAAAGGTGAGAGTGGGCAACCTTGACGTGTACCACGTGATAGAGTAAAATACTCAGAATTCACATTATTAGTACAAACAGATGCCAGTGGCGTAGTATATAAAAGGTGAATCCAAGATATAAAACTGTCACCAAAACCAAATTTCCTCAAGACTGCAAAAAGATACTCCCATTCCACTCGATCAAATGCTTTTTCAGCATCCAATGAGATCACCACCTCAGGGACAGTGCTATGATTTTTGGAGTATATTATATTAAGAAGGGACCGTATATTAAAAAAGGAATGTCTTCCTTTAATAAAGCCTGTCTGTTCATCTGATATAATAGACGGGAGAACTCTTTCCAAACAGGTTGCTAGCAGTTTGGATAAGATTTTAAAGTCTACATTAAGAAGGCTTCTTGGTCGATAGGAGCCACAACAGGTAGGATCCTTTCCCTCTTTATGCAGTAATGAGATAGAAGCCTGTCTTAGTGTCTGAGGGAGAGAGCCGCATTTCAGTGACTCCTCAAAAACCGACAGCAGCAAAGGGGCCAGTTTTAAGTGGAATTTTTTATAAAATTCGGCAGGGAACCCATCAGGACCAGGGGGCTTTCCAGACTGTAAGGATATGATTGATGATATAACCTCATCCAAAGTGAGTGGTGCATCAATTTCTGCTGCTGTTGAGGTTGTAATTGTAGGGGTATCCAATTTGTTAAGAAACTGGTTCATATCTATAGAATTAGAGGGGAACTCTGATGTATACAGAGAACTATAAAATGACTTAAAAATTGAGTTGATTTCCGTTGGATCAGAAGTCAAAGTTCCCGATTCATTTCTAATTTGCAAAATGTGAAGTAGATTTTTTGAAGGCGTTTGTGTTTTTTTTTCGAGGTCGCGGATGACGTCAGCAGAAGGTGATTGGTCACTTGCAATGTTGAACATGGAACAACATTATTTATGATGACGAGGGAACAACACCAACACGAGGATATCAGATCGTCCAATGATAACCAGTAATTAATAAAGTTAATTAATAGTTAATTTAGCTGTTTCCTGATGTTTCTTGGCTTTTGAGTCATGTTGACTTTTATCCACATTTAAAGAACTGAAAGTCTGAACAAACCCCAGCAGGCCTCTGCAGTTGGACTGGGAAACAGATTTTATTTCACTGTTTTTTTTAGGATGTAGCACAGATATGTGAAACTGTACGCAGGCTGAATCTGGTCCCTCACAGATTTTCACTAACACCTCGCTGGACCTGCAGGCTCAGAGAGAATCAAAGGTGATGCTGACGTAGAAGGAATAAACGAGCAAACTCTTTAAAGAAAAGTTCTGTTTTCAGAGATTTAGAGTTTGGGACATCACTTTGAATATGTGGCAAAGAAAGCAAAGCCACTGTCTTTTTTAAACCCTGTTCTCAGAGCGATGAAGCTGTCATTGTTACCTGGCAGGAGGCTGTGCTGCAGGTAAACTGCAGGATCATTGTCACACAGGTGCTGAATTTGTTCTCACACACCTGAACACAAAGGACGCTTTGTGGTGTCGGTGTGGCCCTCTGCTGCAGGCGCTGAGCTCCAAGCATGTTGTTCTGGTTGTTTCACTCTTGAATCTGCCATCTTTTGATGCTTTGAACTCTTTGGAAACTTTTAACCTCGCAAACCTGAGCAGGTTTTCTTTATTCATGAGTTTTCGGGCTGATTCTGATGACGATGAAAGGTTTTTGTTTCAGTGACTCTGATTTGGAGCTCCAGTGGATGATATGTTGTATCCTGAGGCCTGGTGCGTGTCAGGCTTTGCTTCCAGACTGACGGCTCCTCTCTCTGCTCCTCAGGTCTGTCTGGAGGTCCAGGACGCTCATCGTGGGCTGACAGTCGCTCGCTGTCTTCCTCCAGACTGAGGGGGGCGCCGGTGAGCCCCAGTGAGCCCGAGAACGACTCCAACTGCGTGCTCGTTCAAAACCCGAGAAGCTGGATCTCCACGAGCTGCTCTGCAGAAACTCAGCACTCATTCATCTGTTCATCGCCAGCTCAAACTCACTGAGACATTCATAGCCAGTGGCCTTCATATTTAACGTGATGAGGTGATGCTGCTCTGTACATTAGTTTCATACTTTGTCTTAATAAAGCTGCTGCACAAACACAAATATGAGTCAGCAGTTTTGTGACTTCTTTCCTCACATTTTCAGATAGGTTTGTATTACAGTATAAACTGTGTCAGTGATTGGAATCAATGTTTAAAGAGAGTTAGCCAGTTTGAACAGATGAGTTTTGACTTGAATGAGGAGAGAGAGCCAGTATTCCTGATATCAGGAGGAAGGGAATTCCAGTGCCGCGGTGCAGAGCGGCTAGAAGGAAGAAATATACAGCTGAGTGTCATCAGCATGACAGTGAAACTTAATATTACATTTCTGAGTATGTAACCAAGTGGAAGCATGTAAAAAAATTAATAAGAAAGGCCCTAATACTGAACCCTGTGGCACACCAGCAGAAACAGAAAATGAACCTAAAAAGTGAGATTTAAGTTGAATGAAATGAGTGCAACCTGAGAGATATGAGGTCAACCAGGCTACGAGGATATGACTAATGCCAAAGTCTTTTCAGAAGGATAGTGTGGTAAATCAAAGGCTGCACTCGGAGAAGGGTGAGGATGGTGAGGACACCGCAGTCACCTGCCATCAGGAGGTGATTGGTCGTTTTTAATATTTTCTGTGCTGTGAAGTGGGCGAAAACCAGACTAGAATTGTTCATAGAGATTATTATTATTGACGTGTGTGAAGCTAAGAGGCGTCAACATTCTCAGTAATTTTAGAAATTAAAGAGAGGTTAGATATCTGTAGAAAGTTATTGAAATTATGGGAAATTGTTAAGAATTGGAGTAATGGATGCAGTTTTCAATAATGAAGTAACAACTCCAGCGCTAAGGGAAAAGTGAATAATATGGTTATATTCTAAAGAGCAATCATTGCCTTCCTCGTGCATGTTTGAGATCCTGAGCACCTTCTTTGCAGGTGCTTGGAGAGATTCGGTTTTACGTTAGCTTTTCTGTTCTCTGCACAAATTACACTTTTCTGTTACACCGTTTTCAATGTTTTTGGAAATTAATTTCTGAATTTGAAATCACATTTAATCCGCACTGATACAAATACCTTGCACTGGAATAATGTTTTACCTCGCTTTTAGATAATAAACCCACGTTTCCACAGAAATTGTTATCAAGACACGGCTAAATATTGACCAGCTCTCTGACAAGGTGTACAAACACAATTTCAGGATATAGTTGCTGGAATTTGTATTGGGAATGAGGACCAATCGGACTCAGGACATTCTACACCCTTCCTTAAAGCAAACATTCTAATAAACCTTCAATGGTTACTTGAATAGTTTTAAAAAAGAAATATTTTCATTCTGAATTTCTTTTAGTGCAGACTAAAAACATGATAACTTAATACTAATTAAAAGTAAAGCGGTCAGAATTCTGAAACGTCTCGGCAAACTGGTGGTTTTTCAGTGTGTATTCTATATTCTAACATGCGGTCTTGTCAATCAAATCACAGAAATAACAGATACTTGATGGCAGTCAAATTTAGAGCAGTGAAAATTTCTGAAGGTTGTATGTTGCTACTTTGACTTATTATTAATTTAGATCTCAGTCCTGCTCAGAAGACAGAGTTCCATCCAGAGATTCTTCCGGTACGTGGGAATAAAGACTTGTTAACCTTGAGTGCTGCTCTCTGTGTCTGTCTCTGTGCTTGGGTTCACGTTTCGTACCGTCCTCCGTGCCTGCCTCAGTGTCTCCTGCTCTCGTCCCTGGTTGATGGTGTCTCTAGCTTCACATATCCCAGAACAAAATCGCAGTTACCAGAGTTTGATCCCCGGCGGTCGTGTCGCAGAGTGGGGAGGAATGATTAGACACATGAACGGGTTGGTGGTGTACGGACGCAGTGCAGTATCACAGTTCCTCTCTCAACAGCCAATCATCTGCTTTCTCTGATCCATAAAGGCAGTGCAGCTTCTTTTGATCTTCTCTAAACTTCTCCATCAACACTCTCAAAGCAAACACCGTTTGACCGATGAAAGAGAAATGAACCCGCAGGCACTGTTTAGAAGGTTGACACATTTTACTGCAATCAGACCTCCATCAGGCCTGCAATAACAGGCTCTGTGACCCTTGTTCATCAGGTCTTTGCATGCCTTCAGGGGCGCTCCATCAGTGCAGTTTGGTCATACAGACAGTGCAGTGGTCATACAGACTCATAAGCAATGTTCCCTCTAAGCTGTGCGCATGCGCAATTGCACACTGCTGGCACGGTCTCTGCGCAGAAAAAAATCGCACTTCACTGTGGCTACAATGTACAATGGGTGGATGACTGGATGTGTAAAGCGCTTTGGGGTCCTTAGGGACTAGTAAAGCGCTATACAAATACAGGCCATTTACCATACAGTACCATTGCACCTGACACCTAAGGAGGTGTGCGAGTTCTGGACCAAGCTGAAACTTGTGAAGAGCTGAGGTTCTTTTATGGGGTTGCATAGTGGGTTTTTTTTTTTTACAACCCCCTTGATATAGCAGCAAGTCGTGGGTGATGCCAGATGAACTTGCTTGGCAGAACAATTTAAAGCCCCACTCATCTGGTTTGTTGGCACTATACTGGTGGAGAGTGTCAGGCCTTGTAGCTTCATATGAAACCATGACCTCAAACACACTGTGGTTGAAAGTGGACGGCATCATGAGACACCACTCAAGAATCAGGACCATGTGATTTTTAGCCATATAATTGTTTAGATCCATACAGTACTTGTTAAACATGAAATTATATTTTTGACAACTTATTAATTTACCAGCTACTGTAGTTTGGTTAAAATGTAATTAGTTTTGATATTTGTGATTTCCACATGTTACTCTTGATTTTTACCATATTTACTAATATTAACATAGAAAGTTACAAAAATTACTTGCTGAGAAAATTATTTCAGCAAATTCTTGCTGTGCTCCACCCTGATTGGAGGATAACTGCACTGCCAGCACTCATGGACATTACACCTTA